CAACCAAAAATTGGCTGCTGCAACCAATTAAAAATGCTATGCCATATTTAACCATTTAATTTGCTGCAGCAGTCAATCTTTTTTTTCAGTGTAGAACCGCGCGCGCGTTAGGCGTAGGGCGCGGGTGGACGTGGCGAAAATCGATCGTTGCCGTGAAACGGAAACGGGGTAGACTGAGGGAGGCAGGCGAGTTACACCGTCCTGGCCGTCAGCATCCCGTGTCATCCACGAGTCCGGAAACACGTGGGTGAAACGAACCGACCCACAGCCGACCTAGACCGATCGTTCCGCGGAACGCGTGCTACGAACAATGCAGCGGAATGCAACGGATTCTTGGCGCGGCCGTCCCCGAGGCCCGAACAAACCGCGTGAAGCCGGCCGATTACCGAGCAGTACCGAAAAACACCGAGAAGCGACGGCGAGCACGTCGCGTGCATCACTGACGGTTGACGCCGACGAGCGATGAGCTCGTCATCGTCGGCGGCGGTGGTGGCGGCACGTGATCATCCGCAGGTGACGGATTGTAACAAAGGCGAGCCCACACCATCGGATTAGAAGTCTATACTTTTTCGAAGGAAGTTTTGAATACTCCTATAAGTTCACAATATTCCTAGAATGTTATATGAATGTTATTTACCCTTTTTAATATTTATATACAATATATATATATATATTCTAAGAATATTTTATAGAGACACTACTGCAATAAGTCGGAGTAAAAAGAAATAGTGTTGGTTCTTCTTTGTGATTTGTTTCACTCTAATTTATTACACCGGTATCCGCCAGTTCAGATCTTTCCTTGAAAAAAAATGTTAGAATTTAGGATCTAAGTTAGAAGAAAATGATGGTTTCAATTTTCAAGTTTCGTTGACACGTCCGCTGGATTAGAATTTTTTCAAAATAGGTAGAGAATGGTACGAAATAGAAAATTTCTGCTTAACATAGAAATAAAAACTGATCGTTTGATTAAACTTTAGTTTCTTGATGATTTTTCCTTCTCTTGAACCTTGGTTGATGCTCATTGTTACATTTAATAATCATTAAATTAACAATATTTTTGAAGCTACTATTATAAAATTATTATATCTGTTACAAATATGAAAAATTACAAGAAACAAAATCTATGTTCAATAATTAAAAGCTTGCTAAGTTAAAAATATATATCAAAAATGTGCAAAGTTTAGATTTTTAAAAAGAAATTGATTTGTCACTGTCTTTTGCGCAAAAATCTAATTTTTGATGACGTTTGAAAAAGAAGCTATACTAATCGGAAATTACAAAATATTAAATTTCTCAAGATTTCTTAAATGCGTATAATAAAAAGCATAAAGTATAGCATATGTTATAATCCTACATTTACATCTACGATCTGTTATCTATAATAATATAATCTATCGCTGCGTCACAAATATATTTTTTCAAATACTTAATTCTTATCTCGCAAAATAAATGTAAGGAACTATTTTGAGTGGAAGAAGCTAAAGATAACGACCAAAAATTTATCAAAAAATAGTCTTCTTTAAAGTGATAAGTTGAAGATGCCAAACGGAATTACCGTTGCGTTTTATGGACTCTAAGGCTAACAAAAGAGTAAAGAAAATGCATAAAATACCCTTGATTCCGTAAAATACATATTGTACATACGTGTATCAGTTTATTTTTATTTAACAATCAGTGACCAATATTAAAATATATTAAAAAATAGAAATATTTTTTTCAATAAAATAAATATTTGCATTTGATAGAGTACACTTGTAAAATATAATGAAAATTCTACTTTTTTTATTTCCGAATAGAATAAAATCATATTTACTTCAATTCAACAATTGTCATTTAGTTAATTATTTCGTTTTCTGGTTAAGTATATAATTCAATTTTAAATATAGTGATTATTTATTGATAATCGAAACATAATTAAGGGAGTTTTCAGTATATTTTATAAATTTATAATTTTATCAATTGCAAAAGTTGTTTTATTAAAAAGTATTCACATTTTAATATAGTTTGCAATTTTCCTTATGTATTTTCATCGAAGATAATTGCAGTGAATATTAAGCAGAAGTATTAAATAAAAAGTTGTAAAAATGCAACTATGCAACTATGCAACAAATTGAGGTCGATTTTGAATAAACGAGAATCAACGCTTTTATAATGAACTCTTTTCTAATTATATAATCGCTTGAGTAAATACGTAAAGTATAATGTACTTACACATTCCATTATAAAGTATATGCAATTTTAATTATAGCCTTTATTTCGAATGTGGGAATGATAAGCCGATTCTACAATTGCGTAAGCGTAGTTGTAAGTGGTTGTAGTTGTAAGAATTGATTAATGATAGTTGAATATTTTCTTCATATTTGACTGATGATTGGTTAATTCTTACAACTACAATCATTTATATACAACTACGCTTACGCAATTGTAGAATGGACTTTAATTTCGAAAAAAGCTTTTCAAATATCTTTTGCATTCGGAAACGTTACGACCGCCTTTGCCCCCGCCAACGGCAACGAACCAACAACCAAAAAAAAGGAATTTCCACCAATTTGCATAACACAGGAATACGAATACAATAAATTTTATATTTTCTTTTGTAATAATATATTTGACGCTTTAATGCAACATACTATTATATTTTTTAGCTTTACTCTGATGAAAATCTTTCTCAGAATTTTTTATATAATTTTTCAGAATTTCTATATAATTTTATAACTTTCTCACATTTTTTATACGAATTGGAACACTTCTCAGAAGATCTACATCTTTTCTCAGAATTTTCTATATATGTTAATTATGAAATATCGTAAGATTTCTAAGATTTTTTTGTAAGTATAATTCCTGATGAAATGTTATAAAATCTAAAAAATTAAAAAACATTTTTTTTAAATTATAGGATGAGAAATTTCAAAATATTTCAGAATTCACATGTATGAAAAATTCTGAGAAAAGATGTAAACTTTCCGAATATTTCTGAGTATTACCGAAAAATGGTCCAATTCGTTTAAAAATTATAAGAAAAATTTTCATCAGGGTAGTTTTTGAAAATATTCTAATTACGTCTTCAATTGTTACGTAATCAAGACTGATTACGTAACCAAATCTGTTCGCCAATTCTTTTTCAATTGATGTCATAGCTGAATTGCATGACCGCGTCTGCGTCATTGTATTTCTCAGATAATTCTTTATTATTTTTAATTTTGAAAAAGGATGCCTCTGTAGTTGCCACAGACATTGGCACAGTTAATAAAATCTGTAACGCTATCGCTAAATTTGAAAAGATTTTCAGAAAATCACTTTTAGCTAATTCATTTAAAATATCAAGTAAGGTAGCTAGCTTTATACATATTTATAAGAGTAGCGCTGTCTATTAAAATTTTGCGCCCCTCCAAATTTTGCGCTCTACGTTGGAACGTATCTACTCAGTGCTTCGTAACGCCTCCGTTTATATTATGTGTATTCTTTAACCGCTTATTGTATAAATCATGTTTCACTAATTGTGAGATTCTTGAAAATCGATACAATCTTATCTTGCTTAAGAAACAGATCGTTCATTTCTCTCACTTTTATTCCGTTCTCTCAGTCTTATGCGATTTTTATACCGATAAAAACTTGTTATTGATTTATTATTCAATATCAAAGCCTTCAAAACACGGATATTTTTAATTATAATTATACTTCATCTTGTCGATGTTAATCTTCTGCCAGCGAGTCTCGCGAGATCCGCGAGTTAGAGTTGTTTACTCTTTTCAATCTTTTCAACTGTATGTGTGTGTGAAGAAAATGAATAAATGGATATTTGTTTCTATAATAAATATGTATTTTTATTTTTACGTATTTTATACATATTATAATAAAAAATTGTTTTTCAAACGTTTTAAAACAATTTCATTCTTGGATCACTTTTGACTGCATGCGAATATCACGACGTCCGCTGTCCGAAGGTTGATAATGTGCTTCGAGAAAAAAAAAACATTCTCAGTATAGTACGTTATACACATAAAAATATGTATTATATACTTTTTATAACAAACAAATTAATAATGACATTGTAATTTTTTATAACTAAACGCTAAGGTTGTGCTTTCACACGTCGACTTTTCCAACCTTGGCACAATCTTAGCATTTAGTTATAAAAAATTCTAACGTCATGTTTATTATTAAAAGTAATGGAAATAATAACGGAAAAAAATAATGCTTCCCAACTCTGTTAAATTGTTACATAACATGTACATATATCGCAGATGACATTGTACTTTGCTTCGTGAAAATGATTTACGATTCAGTCAGGAAAGCACTCGAGATCTGCAAAAATGTTTAATCAGCAATTTATTCTCGTTTTATAAGATTAGATTAAATTTATCCTCTGCAGTTCAACTTACTCTTCCTCTTTTTCTAATTTTTAGAACTAGATGAAAAGTATGTTAATCGAAATTAAAGTTAATCTACATAATTGGAGGAAATGGGTGTTAAAATCTGAAAATTCAACTCGTACGTGAGATATGTATAAAATATTAGCGATGTGCCAACAAATTCGACTGTATGTGTATATCCACATTAGCGATGTACCAGTAAAATCTGTCATGATCTAACAATAGATTTTTAACAAAAACCAAACTGAATCTACCAGCCGGCATATTTAAACGGATTAATTAAATGAAATTTATTTCATAACGGTAGAGATTCTAGTTTTTCTGGAGGATTATTATGATTCTTGAAACGAGGTGCCATGAAAATTATAAAAGTAAACGAAATACAGAATATTTATATAACTTTATTAGTCAACACCTAGTGAATTTGCTCGTTTCATTTCAACAACCGTAATAAACCCGCTGCTATTGTATTCCGTGGCGTTTCTAGAAAATTTATAATGTTATTCTTATTGTTTTTTGTTGGCAAATTCTATTACGTTATATATACTGGCAAATTTCGCCGAGAAAATCTATTCTCGACAGATTTCGCCATTTACGTTCTAAATCATGCTCACCGCTGTTAGCATCGATGTGTGAGAGAGATAAGTAACAATGGGATGACAATGAGATCACGAGACAATGCTTCTGGCACGTCTTTTTTTACATTCTCTTTATTTCTCTCACGTTCTCTCTCTCTCTCTCTCTCTCTCTCTCTCTCTCTCTCTCTCTCTTTCTCTGTCGCTTTCGTACGCGTGTTTGTTTCGTGCAGAGATTAGCTACGTTTACACCGTGCATTTAGGCCGCGGCCTATACAATAGATGTCCTTGTTTATCTTGTAGATTAACAAAGACACCTATCGTATAGGTCGCGGACTAAGCGTACGGTGTAAACGTAGCCATTATTACGTCGATCGCGGTCAACAAATAGTATGAATTTATGAAATAGCACA